TTATTTATTTTTATGGGCCGCTGAGCCACGGCAACCCCAGCCCTGGTTATTTGATTTTGATGTAATTTTTGGTCTTATCTGTACAGAATTTGTGTGAGTGCCTACTAAATTAACTCATTATCAGATTATCAAATAAAAACAGAGAAAATTAGACTTCACAAATTTCCTTACCTAACCAAAAAAATGAACACCCTCCCCTTCTCCTTACTGGCATTTATTTCATTTAAAAATTATTTACTTCTTAAAAGAGAGCCTTTTACTTGTTCTGGAGTTGGACTGCACAAAGGCATGAATACGCAGAAGTCAGGATCAGTGGATGCCAGGCTGGAAACTAGCTACCACGTTAGGGAGATGCAGTGAAAACCCACAATAAGGTATGACCCTAGGGCTGGGGAGGGGGGTATCTCCATGGTAGCACTCCTTGCCTAGCCCCTGTGTGGGTTCTATCCCCAACACCACAAATAAAAAAGAAAGATATGACTATACACTCACCAATGTGTTTAATTAGACAAAAAGACCAACTGTTAGCAAGAATGAAAAGCAACTGGTACATTGTTTGGGGGGATTTAATATAGTACAGATGTTACAGTGGTCCACTTCAGCCTTTGAATATAGCTCTTTTTGCTCTGAGTCTTACTTTTAAAAGGACATTTTTTCCTCTCTCTCTTTTTCTTCTCCCCTCTCCGGGTCCCTAACAAGATTAGGGAGACAGTGTCACCTTTTTCTTCCCCTAATTAATTGTCCTTGAACACATCAACCACAGGAAGGAGATTTCTGCCAGAGGATCTAAGTAGTGAGGGCGCTCTGAGATCCCTTACCAGAACACACCTGGGATGCAACCTTTGAAGAGTTCCTTTAAAATCCTCCTGTTCCTCCTGATGGGTAGAATCACAGCCTTTGGAATAGGAAACACCCCTACATACCCCCACATCCCCACCACCACCACCACCACCACCATCACCATCACCACCCTACCCGGTGTTTGTCTTTGCTAGCAAAGCAACAGACCTTTTTCCTTTTTTCTCAAAACTGTGTCCTTTTCATTGAATTGGCATTGGGGACAAGGACTGAACTTTAGGCAACACAACCCCTAGAAAAACATAATGTTCTCTTAAGAAATAAGAGTAATTTCATATAAAGGCTTACATTATTATTGAAAGCAACTGTTATGAGGTTTCCCCCAAAGGTGCACATGTGAGACAATGTAAGAAAGTTTAGAGGTGAAATCATTAGGTTTTGAGAGTCTTTACCTAATCCGTACATGAATCCACTTGAATGAATTAAGTAGGTGGTAACTATAAACAGGTAGGGTGCAGTTGGAGGAGACCGGTAGTGCCTATGGGGTTTACATTTTGTCCTTGTTGGGTAGAGCTTTCTCTGCTTCCTGATTGCCATGTCCTGAGCTGCTTTCCTCTGCCATGAAGTTCTTCCTCACCTCATGCCCAAAGCAATTCCTTTTCTCCTCTAATTATTCTTGTTAGGTCTTTTGGTCACAGGGTGTAAAGATAGCCTTGGGCCTTAGCCTAAGCAACTCCCGTTTTAAAACTCCAGTTTGAAACCTGAGATCTCACCAGGCACACCTACTGAGACCTCCAATATGGCCCTCAGGCCCAAACAAGTCACTTCTCCCCACCCTGACAAACTCAGAGTGAAGTCTCTGGCTTGTTGCCTTCCCTTGATCAGAGTCAGAGGCAAGAAAATCAGGGTGGGGACCCCCAGAACAGATGCTTTAACGCCGGGGCAAATGACATCACTGAGAAATCCAGTAGCAGCTGATAGAGATTGAAAGGGTGGTCAGAAGCCCCCAAGTTTAGTATAAATGATGGAGCAAATGAACAGACATTCAGCCAGCTGACACTGATGCACACAAGGCTGAGAGCCTGATGAGGACCTAGACTGACATCCCAACTCTTCTCTCATCTGCCCGATCCTCTGCACTGTTCTCACCATTCTCAAACTCTACAGCAGTCTCTTGACTCTGGTGAGAAAAGGACTTCTCCCCATGACCCTCTCCTCAACTGGCCATCAGTTCCACCCCAGAAGCCTGCCTTGGTTCCTGATCATGTCATCACAGTATGAGTAAGTGTGCAACTGCTGGACTTAGAGCCTAAGACTTGAGGCTTTGATCTGACACTTGAACTTAGCATGCAGAGGGACTGTCTATCATGAGCCTGTTATGATTAAGTGTGTTTGCAGTGCTTAGAATTGTTATAGAATTGTTTGCTGTGAACTGATTATGTCTATTGAGTGCCTAGTATTAAGGATTGTCACTTTCTTGATTAAGAACCTATAGAGTGAAATTGTATTAAGTAATTTGAGTAAAGAAAGCAGTGAAAAGGGCAGAAGGTGTGGACAATTTTTATTCTCCCCTTCGACTGCATAAGTCACACCTTTTGCCCACCGCGACACAGTGATGAAAAAGCTTACTAAAACAGCGATTTTATCCATAATAACCAAAAAATAGAAACAACCCAACTGACTATCAAATGATATGGTACACCCTCACAATGGAATATTACTCAGCAATAAAAAGCCATTAATTCCTGACATATGTAAGCAACATGGATTAAGCTCAAAGCATTATGCTAAGTGAAAAAAGCAAGCTCCAATAGGCTACATATTTGTAATTCCACTTACATTAAAACTCAAGAAAAGACAAAATTACAGTGATAGCATATTGG